GAGCTGAACGTGTACAGCACATACAGAGTGTTCCCCGCCAGGAAGGCCACGAGCCACAGGATGACCAGCACAGATCTCTTCTCCTGGAGACAAAGAAGAGACCTGTGGGGAGGCTGGAGGTATCAAAGACGCACATTCCAGAACACTCCAGAATGTTCTCTGGGGGAAACTTTACTGTCTCAAAGTTTTGCAGGAAGCAGGGTTGACAGTGAAGGGAAGGGCATCTTTCCATTCTGCTGGGACTGAGGCCCAAGGAGTGGTGAATGGGGGACACCTGTTTGGAGAACCATCTGGAAAGACCAGAGAGCACATGGTTTGCAGCACAGACTCCAGAGGGGCAAGGCCTGGCTTCCAACCCTCTGTCTGCTCCCCGGGAGCCATTCCGCCCTGGGCGAGCTGCTTCATTCTCCACATTTCCCTTGACAACTGTTAGAACCTACCTTGGAGAATTAATGTACACGTAATGCTTAAAACAGTGCCCGGCGTGCGACAACGATCGTTAGTCACTTATGTCCCCTCTGTGCACAGACAGGTTACGTGAGTATTGTTCAAGGAAGGGTACATTTGTTTTTGGCACTACTGGGAGTTGAACTCAGAGCCTTGCGCTTGCTAGGCAGGCGCTCTACCACCTGAGCCACCCCACCAGCCCTGTTTTGCTGCAGTTATTCTTCTGATAGGGTCATGCATTTTTTTGCCTGGGGACTGCCTGGATCACGACCTTTCTACCTATGCCTCCTGAGTAGCTGGGACGACAGGTGCAAGCCACCAAGCCACCTTGTTGGTTGAGATGGGGTCTCACTAACTTTTTGCCTGGACTGATCTTAAACTGCCATCTTTGAAGGGTGCAAGTTTCAAGTGCCTGTGTCCTGATTTGAAGATGGGGGTGGCATTAGGGTTATATCAGAGTTACACACGAAGCGTGGATTCTGGTTTGGACTCATATTTTGGGTTGCTAAGGGATCCAACTTCTTACGAATCAAGAGCTGCAAACGTCCGCTCTCATTCTCTCTAGCACAGACCTCTGGACTACATCCCTGGACTGCCTGGTCAATGTCAGGTCACACTGCCAGGACAAGACTCACTCAGACCCATGGCCATCAAAGCCCTTTGTGGTCCAGCCCTGCGTTTCCTTCTGCAGCTGTTGGGTCCCTAAGAGGAAAAACTGGAACAACTCAGGTGCTGATTCCTGGCAGCTCCTGGCCTGAGCGCAATCTTGGGAAATGGGTAGAGAAGGCACAGACAAGGGCGTGTTCCTGCCCGTGCCCTGGGGGATGCAAAGACCCTCTGGTGTTGATCCTCTACGAGTCTCTTCCTGGCTGGGCAGCTGCGTTGCTGGAACAGGATGAGGTCATACCTTTCCTGGTAAAACTTCCCTGCAGTTTCGGTAAGTGCTCCATCCACACTGTCTCAAGCAGCCGGCACCCCTTGCACGGCTGCAAGGACATTTCCAGACAGCGGACAAAACAAATGCAGCTCCATCCACCCATCACTCCAGGAGCGGTCAAGGTTAACGAATGCAGAAACTACCTCCAACCAACAACTCTTATCAGTGTGATTAATTCATTCAGCAGCCCTTTCTCCTCCAATAAATAATGGATCCCAGTTTAATTCTCTGTAAATCCAAGCCAAAGGTGGAATAAAAAGAAAGAATTAGGCTGGGTGTGGTAGTGCATGCTTGTAATCCCAGCTACTCAGGAGGCAGAGATAGGTGGGTCATGGTATAAAGTCAGCCCAGGCAAAAGCTAAAGACCCCACCTGACAAAAAACTAACGCAAAAGGACTGGGGCCAAGACTCGAGTGGTGTGCCTAGCAAGCACAAAGCCCTGAGTTCAATGCCTAGTACTGCTGAGGGAAAAAATGCAGTAGAGGAAGAAGACAGAAGAGGATGGACACTGGGAGATGCAATACTGCTGGCCTGAGGAAGGGGACAAGGCCGGGGGTGACTATGGACCCCACAAAAGGCAAGGAAGCAGATTCTTCCCAGAGTCCCCAGAGGGAGCATGGCCCGGGGACAACCTGATCTTAGCCTAGATGTGCTTCAAATTCCCAAGCTGTAGAGCTGAGACAACAAACCTATGCTGTCTCACACCACTACTGATCACGGTCAAGGTGACCCATCCTCCAGGGGACTCACCTTTAGCGAGACCTGCTCCCGGAGCGTGGCGTTGGCGTAGGCAAAGGTGCTGGCCATCCCGATGCACACGGCGATGCCTGCGGGACAGAGGAGGGTGTGACACCCCCCTGCCATACTCAGCAGGCCTGGCCCAGGAGCATGGGGAATGTTGCAGAAAGACACATGGCTGGTCCCCGGCGAGATGGAAGGTTACCACAGAGGGCAAAGTCCCACCCTGGGGCATTTGGTCTGCTCGGCAAATCACTGAGAACCCAGGGCCATTCTGACTTAGGTATAGGACTTAGGTCACTGTGGAGATATTTTATGGGCTGTGTAGTCTGGCAAGACCAGAGTTCAAGTTCCAGCTCTGCTGCCTCTGCTGTGTGAGCTTGGGCAAATCCTTGCATCTCTCTGGGCCTGTTCCCTCATCTGTAAAGGGCCAGAATAAAAACAGCAGTCACCTTGAAGAGGGATAATTTATATAGGACATAATCTCTACCAGTTAGAAAATGGTGCTAATTCATTTTTCTTCCTTCCTTTCTTTTATTTTTTTTGTGGTACTGGGGCTTGAACCCAGGGCCTTCACCTTCAGCCACTTCACCAGCCCTATTTTTGTGAAGGATTTTTCAAGATAGGGTCTTGTGAACTATTTGCCTGGGCTGGCTTCGAACTGCGATCCTCCTGATCTCTACCTCATGAGTAGCTGGGATTACAGGAGTGAGCCACCGGTTCCCAGCTATCATTTCTTTCTATTGTGAAAAGCAATCTGAGACGGGGCATTTATAGTAAAAGCATGCATAAAAAGAGACCAAGATACCATGAGAAATTAAAGCAGCTGACAGGCAAAGATGACCCAAGCAGATGCAAGAAAGGAATTGAATTTGATTTCACAACTTATTTAATTGGTGCTGTTCACCAAGCTACAACCTTAGAATTCTCTCTGCATAATGAATTTCAAATCCTACTTTTTTTTTTTTTTTTGGCAGGACTGGGGTTTGAACTCAGGGCCTCGAGCTTGATAGGCAGGTGCTCTACCACTGGAGCCACTCCGCCAGCCCTTTTCGCTTAAGTTTGTTTTTCAGATGGGGTCTGGCGCTTTTGATCAGATTATCCTTGAACTGTGATCTTCCTACCTCCACCTCCTGTTTATCTGGGATTACAGATGTGTACCAGCAGGCCTGGCCCAATCCTACTTTTTACTACTTGTGGACAGGACTCAGCTTTCACACAGTTTGCTTGGTGTTGGTCTACTTCCTTCATAGTATGAAAACTATAGAGGGGAGGTATTCCAGGTATTTTACCAGATCTATTTTGCAAAAGGCCTATTTCTTTGCTGGATGTAGTTAAGAGCTAGTAACCACCTAGCCCTTTTTTTCTACTTCTCTTTTTGATTAAAAAAAAATAGAAATAGCACTCTCTGCTGTAATGCTGTGCCTCACCACAGGCCCCGGGGATGGACCGAACCCTCGAGACCACGAGCCAAATTAAGTCTTTCCTCCCTTGGATTGTTTCTCTCCAGTATATCACAGCAAGAAAAAAAATCTAATAGAAGGGAGATGAGAGAGGGTGGTAGTGACTGAATACGATCAAAGTTCACTGTATACATGTGTGAAAATGTCACAATGAAACCCGTTATTTTGTACAATTAATATATGCTGATTTTTAAAAAGCAAAAAAAAAAATCTCCACTGAAATATAGGGAAAGTGTTCTCAAGAATAAAACTTAAGCCGGGTGTGGTGGTGCACACGTGTAATCCCAGCTACTTGAGAGGTGGAGCAGGAGGGTCTTGAGTCTGAGGCAGGCCTGGGATACACAGCAAGACCCTGTCTCAAAAACAAAAAGGCTGGGGGGTGTGGCTTAGGGGTACAATCCTGTATTGCTGAGACCCTGGGTTCAATTGCTAGTACACTCCTCCCTGCACCGCCAATAAATAAATAAACAAAACCTAGCTGTGAGTTTTCTAGAACTCAGAGTAATACTTGGTGGCATGGTGGCTTCCAATTCTAGGGACAGAACAGGAGAGGGGACATGGTGGCACCCCAGCAAAGAAGGCGGGTTGATCTGAGTTGTCCTGAACCCACCAAGGAGGGGACCATCTCGAGACTGCGTTTGTGCTAGACAAAGCAGTCCACGACAATTTTTACCATCATGCCTAAGGCAGGAGTCAAATAACCGTTCACAGGGCACAGTGACATCACAATCTAATATCAGTAAGTAACAACAGGGGCTGGAGGCGTGGCTCAATCGGTAGAGTGCCTGCCTAGCAAGCATGAAGCCCTGAGTTCAAACCCCACTACCTCCAAAATAACCCAAAATCAGTAACAATGAATGCTAATGACAACAACATGCCAGACTGGTCTCTGAAGGCTCGTGTGCCTCAGGTCAGGTACTAAGCAAAGCACTTTATGAATCGTTACTTTACTCACTGACCCTGACCACAGTGGGAAGTACTCAGGGAGCTTCTGTTAGGTGCCAGCCCTATGGTGAGAATTTTAATGAGGCAATAATAAGCATAATGAAAAATAAGAATGTGCACATTCATAGCACTTGCTCTGTGCTGGACTCCGTCCTAAGTGGTTTACATATAGGGACTCAGATTGAACCTCCCTGCGTCCCATGAAGTACAGCTGTTCCTTGGTGCCAGTGGGGATGGGTTCCAGGACCCCTGTGGATGCTGAAAACTGGGTGCTCAAGTCCTTTATATAACATGGTGAGGGATTTGCGCAGCGCCTACCTGCATCTCCTGTATACTTCAAGTCTCCTCTAGATTACTGTCACCCCTAAACCACGCAAGTGCTGTGCAAACAGCGGCCATGACAAGGGGGAAAGCCTGTAGCTGGTTAGAACAGATGCAAATTTTCCTCCTGCCTATCTTCTACCCGTGGTTGGTTAAATCTACAGATACAGGGCTGGTGGAGTGGCTCAAGCGGTAGAGCACCTGCCTAGCAAGCTTGAGGCCCTGAGTTCAAACCCCACAACCATCAAAAAGAAAAAAAACTAGATGCAGAAACTACAGATACAAGCGGCTGACTGTATACGCCATCTTAACCCTTATTTTATAGGTGATGGAACTGTGGAAGGCTCAGAGAGGTTAAATAATGTAACCAGCATCACACAGCTAGGAAGGACAGGGCCAGGGTTCAGACCCCAGCAGTTTGAGCTCTACTCTTCACCCTCTCCATCAACCAGGGGAAGGAGTTTCTATCACAGCCCACACTGGACAGATGAGGAAACCGAAGGTCAGAGAGGTCAAGAGTCTTGCACAAGTCACACAGCAAGTTGGCCAGAATTTGAACCCTGGTCTGGTTTGGGACCCCTTGCCCTTCATCCCTTGGCACCAGAACTTTCTCATGACCATGTGGATGAAGAGCCGGCACCCCAGCCGGGACCCCCACCCCCCAGACTCACCGAGCTTGTGCTGGAAGCACACCTTGGCCAGCAGGATAAGGATGAAGGGCAAGCCCCTCTGCAGCCAGCAGATCACAGCCTTCAGCTCCGACAGGGCTGGGGCAGGTGTGCCGGGCTGCTCGTCACCCCCTTCGTCCCCATGCCCACGGTGGTCAGCACCCACGTGCTGCAGGAGTGAGCCGCGGTGGCCTCCGTGGTGGAAGTGGTGGTGGGGCTGGCGGTGGTGGTAGGTGCTGGCCTCGCTGCCTCGGCCTCCAGCCTCCTCCCGGGGCGCAGGCATTGGGATGAACACGTCCCCACCACCGGCCCCAGAGCCCAGCACCAGGCCGGCTGGGAAGGGGCTGGCGGGGAGGCCCGAGAAGATCGCTGGTGGGGAGGCTGACTCTGCCTTCAGGCTCTCGAACACGCCACCCTCATCCACACTGGCCTCGGGGCTGATCACCTGGCTGCGGCCTCTGCAGGACAGAGTACCAGGGTGGGAGTTGGGTTTGTCCCCAAACCCACACTGGAGTCTAACACCCGCAGCCAGGCACCACGAGGTGGGAACTTAACCCCACTCTGGGGTGTAGACAGAGCCTTTGGGATTAGGTAGCTTCGGACACAGTCATGCGGGTGGAGCCCCAACATCAAATGCTGGTGGCTTTGTGAGAAGAGACCTGAAGCGACAAACACACACACACACACACACACACACACACACACACACGTGCTCCCTGTCTTTAGCCTGTGAAACCCTGTACCACCACCACTCTGCCACGAAGGCTGTGCCAGACACTGCCCTTGAACCTTCACAACTGTGAGCTATGCAAACCTCTTTTCTTTATTACTCACCCAGCCTGTGGGATTGTGCTCTTGCAACAGAAAACAGACTAATGCATGAGGAAAGAGGTAGACAGAAAGACACAACCTCAGTAGGGAGGGGGACAAATAATTACCAATAAATGTTATGGAAGCAATGGTGCCCCACCTCAGATTCTTGTGTTGAGCACCACTATCTCAGAATGTACCCTTACATAGAGACAGACTCTTTAAAGAGGCAATAAAGTTAAAAGGACGTCATTGGGGTGAACCCCAATCCAATGTGACTCGTGTCCTCAGAAGAAGAGGTCAGCACTTGCGTTGCACACAAAGGGAAAGCATGTGAGGACAGAGACAAGATGGCAGGAGACAGAGCTGCAGAAGGAAGGAACCCTGTGACACCTTGGCTTTGACCATCCAGCCCACAGCACAGTGAGGAAAGAAATTTCTGTGGTTGAAGTAACCCAGAAAGTTCTATGGAACCTTGTTATGGAAGCCAAACATAAATGATACTAGCACTGGGGTCATAACCTTCACCAACACTCACTCTGTCAGACGCAGTCGATTACTTTGATTAGCTCATTAAATCTTCCTATCAACCCTGGAATACGGTACTGCTAATGTCCCCATTTTACAGGTAAAGAAACTAAGGCACAGAGAGACGGTCACTTGCCCGGAGTTTCATGGTTGGAGGGGTTTCAATCCCAAGAGGATCAACTCTAGAGCCAATTTCTCAACTGCTCTACCTCTCTGAAAAGGGAGAGTAGAATTCTATGATTCCAAAATAAATCAGGAATCCCAGGACTCGTGGCTCTGTAATGGTCAAGTTTAACGACTCCCAGTTCTCTAGAGGGGCCAGCCCTGGTCACAGCTGGTATTTGGTGGGCAACAGATAGTAATGGAAAGACTCATTCAAACCCCAGCTCCATCCTTCCCAGCAGTTTTCTCTGCACTCAGTTTTCTCACCTGAAAAATGGACATAAATCCTATTCACGTCTAGAGTTCCTGGTGGATCAAGCTTAAAATACCCTTTGCAAAGTAACTGGCACAAAATAGGTGCTCGATACATGAAAACTATTGTATCTAGCCCCTTGGAAATACCTCCAGGACCAAACTGCCTTTTCTAGCTCCAAGTGAGATGGGGGTGGGCCAGCAGAAAGGGAAGACTAACCCAAAGCAGCCAGGCAGCAGGTGCAGTGCCATATCCAGGTATGTTTAGCCAAACTGTTCCACCATGTCTTGGTGTAATGGTTGACCATGGTAAGGCTATTTCTTGGTACAGTGGTCAACAGTCCCCCAACCTGGACTTTCCCATCGTAAAGGTGAGCCAGAGGGCTCATCTGCATCTCATTATAGATGCAGTTTTATGATTGCACCTCCCCTAAATTGGCATCTTGGCTCTGAGGAGACCTTCCTAGGTAGCCACTCCCCATTCCCTGGCTCACGGAAATGCTCTCCTGTTTCACAAAACTCTCCACAATTACATACTGTCCTTAGCACAGTCGTGAAGCCCTATCCACAAAAGCGCCTAAGACCCGAGAGCTTCGTGCACCTGGCTGCCCGGTCAGGGTGCCCGCCCCCAAACTCTTTGAGGGTGCACGTTCACCGTCTCCAACAAATCTCAATTTTGCATTACTTTGCTTCAAGTAAATCTTTCTTCAGATTCCTCTGTAGGTCTGTCACTGAATTTTTTCCTTTGGGGGGACCAAGAATGGACCGTTTGTGTCTGAAAACAAGCATGGGCCTCTCGGGTTGGAATCAGCAAAAGATTTGGTGTTATTTTTTTTTTCAGAGCCATTGCTGGGGGAGCAGAGAATCTGGAGTGACCCTTCTGAGAATGGCAAGCACAGAACTGGGTGCTCTTTACCATAAGCACCATGTCCTGAAGTGCTTGGAGCCCATCTTTCTTCTCCTGGGTGTGTGCTGTTTTCCAGTGAAACCCGGTCAACAGCACAGACACAAAAGGAGCCAAGTGTGTGCGGGAGGGCGGGAGGGCTCAGAGCCTCACCACGTCCCTCCTCTGTCACACAGCCTTGCAGTAGGGGCACTGAGCACCTCACAGACCCCCAAGGGTCTCCAAGCACTTCGTGAGCTACTCAAAACAAGGGCTAAGATTCACTCAACCTGTGGACCCCCACAACCCAGGGCACACAGTAGATATTTTAAAAAGGTACAGTAGCTATCACCCACTCACACGAGACAATGCAAGGGAGGCTGGGGGCGGCAGGGGGAGGTTTATGCTGCCTTTCACACTTGACCTTGTATCATTTACTCATTGGATGAGTATATATAGATTGGATCATTTCGCCATCCCACTGAAAACCCCTCAAAAACTTCTCATTTGACACTCCTTGAAGTCTCAGATAAATCCTAACGTTAGATACTAATACTATTTTCATTTTATAAAGAAACTGAGGCTCTGAAAGATGCACGTGCTCGATGCCCTGGTCTATCTGACCCCAAAGTTCAATCTCATCCCGCGCCTCTTGCCCCCAACTTAAGGGCTTTGTGCTGCAGGACCCTCACTGGATGCTCCCCACTGCACCTGACTGCTCCATCCTATCTAGGTCGTTATTCTCAGATTTCAGCTGCAACCTCTCTACTTTGGGGGAGGGGAGCTGCCCTACCTCCTAAACAAGCAGCCACCCCCCCCCCGCTTCTGGACCTCACTGCACCCTTGCCTCGCCTGCACAGGACTGCTCACAGGTGTCCATTTATTGCATGTTTTTCACTGGAGACCAGAGGTGCTCAATCCTGGAGGCACATTACTATCACCACGAGGAGCTTTTGAAAAACACAGGTGCCCAGGTCCTAGGACCGTGAGTTCCCTGGTGAGTCCAGCATGCAGCCGTGTGGTCAACCAGCATGGCCACGTTACACAGGTCAAAGGCCATGACTACAGGCTCCCATGGGACCGCTGATCCACAGGCCAAGGTGCCTGGCCCCAGATCACGCTCAAAAAACCCTGTTTGAAGCAATAAATGAAGGATCAAGCTAAATGCTCTGAGAAGGCCTGCAATTGACCAAAATTAATGCTTTAAACCTGGTGGTGTTGTCCACAGAATTCTTTTCATCCAGGGAAAACCTCTCAGTGTCTTGTAGAGCATCTGAGAACCACAGCAGGGGTCATGTTAGTCTGGAGAATTCTCAGAGTTGGTTTCTTTGGCTTTGCAAAGTGGACCTGAGGATACGTTATCACAAAGCCGGTGAACTTGAACATGGCTCCTTCCCCTGGCCCATCACGCCCTGCCCCGCCCCTGCTGACTCTGAAAGCCTGGGAAACGTGTGGTCCTCCTCCCCTGGGCTCTGCAGGATAATATTGATGATACCAGAGGTAACAACTGACACCATGGCTGTGAACCTCAAGAGGCCTCAAGAACTTTTTCTGTTCTTTAAGAAGCTGAGCTCAGAATACATGAGACCCGGCAGGGACCCACGCTGGCCCATGTGGACACCCCCACTGCCCCTTGGGACCCTAGAAAGCCCTCCCTGCCCCACTGAGCTCAACAGCATTTGGAGCTCACAGGTCTTTGGGGAACTCCAGTACAACCAGGGAAGGTTTCAACCCACCAAGGGCTTTTTATAGCTGGCCTCCCATCCTGGGCCTCTCTCCCTGGGCATCCAGTTGGGATTTCAGCCTAAATGGGAAAGAATATTCCTTGGAGGGGTGGGGCGGGAGGGGATGGTGGCTGTGCTTCCAACTTAACCACTTAAGGGCTGAAGTTGATGTGGCCCAGGAAAAGAGGATCTACCCAGCTAGGAGGCGGCTGAAATGGGGTGTCTAAAAGTGGATTTGGGGAGATAACTGAATTAAAGCCCAAATCTCACCTGTGCCACTTTCCTAGCTGTGTGACTTTAGGTAATGGGTTTCCCTCTCTGTTTCTTCTCTGCTAAATGGGAGTAAAAGTAGCCACTAATATAGCAGTAGCATGGAGTAAGCACGCCATACACAGTGGCCATGGTTTTTCTGCCAAGGTCTTTGCCTCAAAAGATGTCATGGACCACCTGAGAGCAGGTGGCAAAGCTGTCTTCCGATAGGTGTGATGATTGCGAGCCTGATGCTGGCTTTGTTCGTCCTCACGCTCATTCTTCATTCAAAGCAACTCTGAATTTTGGCCCCTGCATCTGTGAGTGAGACACTGAGGCCTCAGTGTCATTTGTCAAAGGTGCCACAGATGGTGGTTTTAGTCTGTGATCGGGTGCTATCACAAAATGCCTGAGGCTAGATAACTTGTAAAGAAGAGAGGTTTAGTAAGCTCACAGTTCTGGAGGCTGGGAAATGACTGAGCTGTGATTTTGACCAAGGGGCATCTCACTATTACAGCCAGTGCTCTTCCTTGGCAGAACAGGCAGGCTTGGGCCTCATGCTGGGGGTGTCATGTATGATTTGGTAGCCAACCTCAGAGCTGCAGGGAACCTGGAGTGGGAGGCGATGGAGGAAATGTTTGACTGCCCTGGACATATGCGCTTGAGCGGAGGTGCCAGGCTGCGAGACTGTCATGACCTGAGAATAGGCCCCAGGCTGCATTCTCTCTGGGGTTTAAAGACATAGATAGAAATTCTAGCTCCCCAGTGTTTATTGTGGCTTTTTATAGATTCTGTATTTGTCTGTTTGGCATCCATCCATGGCAAACGAGTGGCCAAAGTTGTCTATCTCTGCCCTGCAATGTGAGGCTCACCCCCCACCTCCTCTTTATGTCTCCCACCCATGCCTTAAATATCCAGGGCTAGATCCCAAATGACTAGACCCCACCCCAAGACCCCAGAGCCCACCAGCATTGTTCAAATCAGCCAGTCCTCAGCCACTTTCCACCTGGTGTGTGCCACACTGCACAGAAAAGACGGTGGTCTTTGTTCTCCTCTTCTTCCTCTCTGCCTCATGACCAACACTGGGGCCTCTCCAGGTAGCCCTGGGAGGTGTGGTGCGGCCCCTCCTCTCAGGAAATTAGGCACTAAAGACCTTCTTTCAGTGTCATTGGCCCTCTGTGGGCGGATGGCCGAATGTGTCTCCCCCAGATTCATATAAGGAAGTCCTATTCCCCAAGGAGACGGTGCTAGGAGGTGGGGGTCTTTGGAAGGTGATTAGGTCATGAGGGTGGGGAATGGGATTCATGCATTATGAAAGAAGGCCACAGAGACTTGCCTGGCCTCTTCGATCATGTGGACACAGTGACAAAATGGCAATCTATAAACCAGGAAGTGGCTCTCACCAGACACTGAGTCTGCCAGCATCTTATCTTGGACTTCCTAATCTCTAGAACCATGAGCCACTGGCTCACGCCTGTAATCCCAGCTACTCAGGAGGCAGAGATCAGGAGGATCACAGCTCGAAGCCAGCCTGGGGAAATAGTTCCTGAGACCCTATCTCGAAAAACCCATCACAAAAAAGGGCTGGTGGAGTGGCTCAAGGTGAAGGCCCTGAGTTCAAACCCCAGTACTACAAAAAAAAAAAAAATTTGTTGTATAAGCCCCTCTAGGCTACAATTTTTTTTGTTATAGCAGCCAGAATAAAGTAAGTCATGTCTATAAATTAAAATCCCATGGGCACAATTTATTGATACAATGAGTCAAGAACATCACTGGGCACACGGATTTTGAGAATTGGCATAAAAAAAAAGCAAGCTGTCATGTGTTCTTCATTTACCATAAGGCCATTGCTTTGTGGTGTGAGTGTGCCTAAATGTCCATCTGTAAAGGCTTGGCCCCCGAGGTGGTGTGCTCTGGACCTTTAAGAGATGGAGCCCAGGGGGAGATTCTTAGCTCCTCGAAGGGGATTGTGGGAACCCAGATTCTCTCCTTCTCTGCTGTGTTCTGAGATGTAATCCCTTGCTTCTAGAACCCATTGTCATCTATGCCACAGGGTGATGAGACCAGGGGCTGGCTGCTGAGCTGTGCTATGCTGTTTGGACTCTTAGCATCCCAAACTGTGAACTAAATAAACCTTCTCTCTTTATAAAGTCAGCTGCCTCAGGTATTTTGTTGTAGGAATACAAAGCAGTCTACACTTGGATCTCCTTGTGACTCCAACAACTGAGAGGCAGGTGTTATTCAACCTACTTTCAGACTATCTTCTACCACCTGGAGCCCAGAGCCCTGAGATGGGACGACCCGGGGGAAGTTTACCTTTCAGGTGGAATGCTGTCTGTGTTGCTGCTGTGACGTCTCTGCATCTTCCTTAACCCCTGAAAGTCAACACATGTGTGAGCCCCACCCCCAGCTCTCCCACTGCCCACCCCATTGCCATGGCAACTGTAAACAAGTACTGATTGTGTCTCTTACATCTCTCCAGCTCCCTGACATTTTCCAAATGGCATTTCTATCTTTTCTGTCACTTAGTCCTAAATTCAACATTCAAGTCCCACAGGAGAGAGTCACCACCCATTTCACAGGTAGGAAGTTGAGACCCAGAGGTGGAGGAAGTCCCATGCAGAAGAAGGCAGCAGAGAGGTTCTGGGTGTGTAAAGCGAGCAGCAGACTGGCAGTGAGGAGACATGGAGCCCAATGCAGCCCCTAACTTGCTGTGTGATCTCAGACAAATCAGTAACCTCTCTGTGGCGTCAGATTCCCCATCTGTTTCCCGTCTGAGAGGGGGTGGAATGGTAAAAAACAAAGCTTCCTCCACACTCTGGCATTTAATAAAGCAGAAATGAAGGTGTGAATTCTCACGTGGACACGTCACCTGGTTCACTGTGAGCAGCCACATGGACTTCAGAACTTCACAGTGACGACACCTGAAGAGGACATTGAGAACTCCTGATGGGGATGAGACCACTGGATCCAAGAGAGCAAGGCCTTCCCCTCTTCTTCCTCTCCAGAGGGACACAGGACAGGGAGCTTCCCAGAGACTCCAAACCCTGGACGGCACAGAACACTGGGTAAACAGGCTGTGGAATGCCTTGGATCTGACACTGTCTTGGGATATCACTGGTAGTCAGTCATATAACTCCATCTGCTCAGTGTCTCTCTGTAACCTTTTACTTTGAGACTCATGGAGGTTCTGGTCTTAGTGTATTTTGTCTTATTTTCAAACTGCATCCTGATTGGAGTATGGCCAATAAATAACCAGAATAAAACTCACAACCTACAGGTTCTGTCTGACATTGTACCATCATTTCATTTCATTCTCCATCTACAACTCCCCTGCAGCCACAATGGCCTTTTTTTCCTACAGCATGTCAGCTTGTCCCTGCCTCAGGGCCTTTGTACCTGCCATTCCCTCTCCTTGGCATGCTTTTCCCTCTGCATGTTGCACGCTAGCTCCCTGGGTCGAATGTCACCTCCTCCCAGAGGCCTTCTGTGTTTATCTTCCTGATGCCTCCTGACATCACCCTGCTTTATTTTCTTCAAAGCAGGTACCAGTTATTTACATGTGCACTTATTTTTATCTGCACTCTCATTACAATGTGAATGTCACAGCACAGGAACACATCTATCACCTGGCTTGTCTGTCTGACCATTAGGACCCTACTTCCCACAGGTGAGAATTAACTTAGGTTGCGTCTTTCTGTCAAAGGATTTAATCAGTAATCACCGAGGTTACAAATGTTAGTCTCACTAACTCGCTTCCCACATGCTCGCTTCATGGACTCTGCTTAATGTGATAAAAGTTTCTGTGAAGAACAAAGGGTTGTTATCCTCAGCTGGGCTGCGTAAAAATTCCACTAGAAGCCTTAGTTCCAGAGCTGATAACCAAAACCAGTTATTGCTTCCCTGAAGATTTAAGCTCCTTTGTTCCCAAAGCCCTCTCCCAACCTGGCCCCTTTCTAATGAGCCCACCACTCATCTTCATATAAGGGGAAGGCTCTACTCCTGAGTTACCCCCAAGTGCCCCAACATCTTCATATAGAAATTAAAACTTATTACATAAATATTTTTTAAGGATTTGCAATCCGGCTTAACAACATCTCTCCCCACTATCCCCCACCCCCGCCCCATCACTTGCAAATCTTCGAAGGGAAAAATAGAATTCAGCATCCCAACGTTTCCATCCACAAATTTGACACAACCTTCTAAATCAAATGCCCACGTCTGTCTGTTGGAAGCAGGCCACACGTCATTATTACAATGCCGAATTGTGCAATAAATTTTTGCACGCAGGACCAATCTGGATGATTAAATTAAACAAACGCCTTTTAACCCTCTGCTCCATACATCCTCCTACCCTCCCCATGAACGACCACGCGGAGACTCTTTTAGATGCTTGCGTCCTGTGCATCACAGGGCTGCACCGCAAGGGAGCATCTTCTGCATTGCTTGCAGTGGAAGCAAGCAGGTGCACTCGGATACAATGTGGCGAGCACTGTATCCATTGCTGCAACCATCACGCAGTGCACAACGCTCTAGGACTGCAAGAGCAGGACACTAAGACAGACTACACTAGTGGGAAAGATCGCGTTCTCTTTTTACCTGCCCAGACAATTCAGCAATCACAGCCGCATCATTCACATCCAGCCAAAGCCAATCACTCGCGAGGCCGGGGCCGCACGTGACTTCCGAGTGCTTCCGGCCTTCTGTTGGATTTGGCCTCAGATTTTTTTTTTTTTTAACTAGGGTCGGCGCTAGGACCCAGCTCTAAGCTACTCCAGTCACACGTATGCGATTGCCCGCCCCCTTTCTTTAGACTTAACCAATAGAAATCCGCCGCTCCTCAGAAACCAATGGTGAGGCGACCGGAGGGGGGCCGGGCTGTGACGCAAGCGGGGCAGAGGCGGGGCTTGTGCTGGTCACGTGGGGCGTCGCGCGCCGGCTGCCGGGAGCTGGCGGGGCTGGCTGCGGATCGCCGGGCAGTGTCGGGCAGCGGCGCTCGTAGGGGCCATGCCGCGGGGCCCCCGGGCCTGCCCCGCTCGGTGCCGGGATGGTGAACCTGGCGGCCATGGTGTGGCGCCGGCTTCTGCGGAAGCGATGGGTGCTCGCCCTGGTCTTCGGGCTGTCGCTGGTCTACTTTCTCAGCAGCACCTTCAAGCAGGTGAGGAGGGGACGGGACGGGGCGGAGCTGGGACTCGAACCCGCAGCGGTCACACTCTTCCCTGGCTCCTCCTTTTTCCTCGCCTGCCGGGTCCCTAAGCCGAGATGGCAATTTAGGGGGCTCTGTGTTGTGTCTACCTGGGTGACCCCTACCTATCTCTGTCCACCCTTTCGTTTTCCTGTTTTCTGGGAGAAATAGGAAATGTGGCCCAGAGTTTGTCGAGAAGCCCAATTTCAGCACGCGAGAAAGGGAGAGCAGCTCCCAGGATGTAACTTGGGGCAGACTCGGTGATAAAGTTCACCTGGTGGAGTTGTTACGACCTCGCTTTCCACTCTCAAGGTCAAGATCGTATAGCTGCAAAGGAAATGCTACGAAAGTAAAACTGTATCTTCCCCCTCCCCCCAGTTTTAGCTGATTGTCACAGAACTATGGAAAAAGCAGACTGAATTTGTACCCCACCTTCCCCCTTACACAAACAACAGAGGCCCAGGGTTGCAAGTCTGTTTTGCTGGCTGGGGTCCGTGGGTGATCACGTGAAGACCTGGGCACAGATTTGTGTTTTTTGTTAGCTCTTAGGCACTTTGCCACAGTCCAGAGTGGTTTCTGCTCTGGGAGGACCTGGGAGTGTGTGTGCCTGGACTCCGTCCTCTGATTTCCTCTCTCTCCTTGACCCTGGTGATCTCTGGCACTACTGTCTACCAGCTGTTGATTTTCAGGTTTATAAGTCCAGCCTGGACTTACTCGAGAAGCCCCAGATTCTTCTATCTGTTTGTCTACTTGACATCTCATTTTTAAAAGTTTTTTTAATGGTGAAATATTCATAAAATTAAATTTCTTAACTATTTTTAAGTGTATAGTTCAGTGATGGTAAGTGTATTAGTACTGTTGTGCATGCATCACCCCCATGCATCCCATAAGTCATCCTATAAAAACAGACCTTGCCTACTACACCGCATCTCCCCATCCCTTCCTCCCCCAGCCCTGGCAGCCACCAGGGTTGTGTTGTGTGTGGGTTTTTCATACTTGGCCAAAACTCAACTCTTCTTCTCTCGGTGTTGGGGATCAGACCCAAGGCCTTGTGTATGCTGCTACTTGAGCTATATCCCCTGGTTTTTTTGAGGGGTGGGGTAGGGGACAGGTCTGGCTATGTAAATCAGGGATGCCTGAAACTCACTTTATAACCCAGGCTGGCCTCCAGCTCTGGATCTCCCTGCCTCAGCCTCTGGAGAACTGGGATTGCAGGTGAGCACCAGGATGCCCAGCTAAAGCAGAACTGTTGACTCTTGTTTCTCCCTAGTCTTCCCAGTGTCTCAGTAAGTGGTATTACTGTTCACCAGGTAGTTCAGACACAAATACATCGTTCTTTTCTTTCAATCATCTGTGCATAGAAAACACCAGCCCTGTCTCTGCAGTGTATTCTGAATCTGCTCACTTCTTCTGTTGTCACTGCTGCCACCCTAGGCCAAGCCAGTGTCCTCTCTTCTCAGAACTATTGCAGTAGCCTAACAGCTGTGTTTTCCTTTCTTGTCAGTCTGTTTTCCCTCCGGCAGCTGGGATGATAATCTTTAAGAGGTCCTGATCACAGTCCTGCCCTGTGTGTACTTCTGTTACACTCAGATAAACTCCACATTCCATTCTGGGACCTCTGTGTGACTCAATTGTTTTTGTCATTTCAGGTCAGACTAGCTGACTATACCTGGTGACTCAGGCCACACTTAGTGACCCATGTAAACGACCTCAGTTCCTTGTCCACAAACTTGCTTTTTTTTCTTTGCAGTGGGAATTAGTAACTGAAACATTTCTTGTTCATCGCCTTGTCTCGCTTTACCCTCTGGTTTTTGAATTTTCTTGAAAATAAGGACCTTGTATGTCTTGTTCTTAGACCCTACAGCCGTAGAATCCTGCCAGGCACTTCACAGGAACCCAAATGTTGAGTGAGGAAATAAGAGAATGTTTTTCATTTGGGTGACTTCCCTTCTCACTCTGGCACACTCCGACAGTGCTGCTAGCTTTCCATCTCCTCTGTCACTTTCCCTTCATCCACCTCTTGAGCACTCCAGTATTCCAGCTTTGTTTTTTATGACAGTCTTTTTTATCTTGTGATCTATCATTATATGTATTTTGGGGTGGTGGTAAGCTGATTGTGAAATCCCTAAAAGTGTTGTCAAAATTCTCGCTCTGTAAACTTCCTGGATCTAACTCCTCCCCTGCAGGGAGCACTGATCTGCTGCCCTACTGTGTGTATACTTGCTGGGATAGGTCCTTTTCATCACTAGGTGACCAAGGTGCATAACTATACACAGTGCTCTTTTACTTCTGATGGGAGGTTGGCGGGAACCAGTGTGTCATAGCCTAGGCTGCTGTAACAACACCAATAGACAGGTGACTTAAACAACACACCGTTAATCTAGAGGCTGGGAGGTTCAAGATCAGATGCTGACAGATCCTGGGTCTGGTAGGAAGCCCCTTCCTGGTTTTACCCTCATCGGGTGGAGAAAGAGAGCTCTGGGTCCCATATCCCTTCCAGGGACACCAGTCCATTCATGGGGTCCATCCTTATGACCTCTTCCTCCAAGCTTCATTACCTCCCAGAGGCCCCGCCTCTTAATGTACAGACGTCACTATCCCCTAATATCCCTTGGGGGATTAGGGCTTTAGCATGGATTTTTTTTGGGGGGGGGTGGAGCATTCATTTCATAGCCCCATGTGGGTAAGGAGGTACTGACCTGTCCCATGCTGCTCCATATAGGAAGTTACCTGGTAGAGTCGTACTGATGGGTGGCACCTGTGTACATGCCACCATAAATGAAAGAGC